GCTCCCGCAGCCGTCGAGTTTACTTTAACCAAAAAAACGCCCCTGGCTTCGGTCATTCTGGATAAGCGTACCCCACTTCACCAGATCGAGTTCACTGTGCAAGGCTACTCGGTGGTTCATCACCGAAACTGAACCTTAAATCACGTCGTCCCACCCTTTATCAAGGAAACACGCGAAGAAGGTAAGCCGACTCGACAGTCTAAGCCATCCCCATCAGGCTGAAACGCGGACGATACAGCCAGATCTCGCCTGCTTTTGACGACCAAAGCGACACAAGTGACCGTTTTGCCATATCCGACGACTCTGGGTCGGACAGAGAGCCACATAGTGGGGAACATTCTGCCCCGGACACCGATCGACGTACCACGATGGACGGTATTGAAGCCGCAATTGTGGCCCGACCCAAATCGATTTGACCTCATGGGAAATACCCAAGTTTCCGGTCGGCTCCATTCACGCCACCAATTTTTTTGTCGGCTCGGATTATGAAGGCAAAGCGATTGGTGTTTAGTGCCGCCGCGACCAAGCGGTAGATCTACGACGCCTTCCTCCTCCCCCGAAAAGAATATCTTTTAATTTCCCAATCAACTCTTTTGAGTGGTTGAGTGGAGGTTTACATGGACCCATTCCGCCAGACCAAAATGTTGTGCTGTGGGACAAATCGATTAGGCCGCCGCACTCTATTGCTTTATTTGTGGCACTTAGTGAAGGAAGTGAGGCTGTTCTTAACGGGGCCGTCAACAGAGGCAATGTTGAGCAATTTTTCCTTAAGAGCTCTGCAAAGTCATTAAAGAAATTTTGGGCACTTTTACCAAAATTATTGATCCAGACGTTTTGTTGTCGACGGTTCAAGCTCAACCTAGTCTTTACTGGAACTTGCTTGATATCTGGCTGGACCTCACTGCCCTTCGCGAGATATTCAAAGATCTACGAGAGCAGGCCACTAAGGTGGCCCCTCCAGTTTCCACTCATCTCTGCTGTACAGTGGGCCCAAAGGGGTTACTCTTTTAACGCGAATGGTCTAAATAACGTCACACAACGCACCTTGATTTTTTCTCTGACAATTTTCGCTTGTGGGAATTCAAGAGGTAAGGTCTACGGGTATCAAAAGTCTGAATAGGGCTAAACACCATTGGAGTACGGCTTTGCGGAAAACTCCAGCTTTTGGTCGCAAGATAATACGACCACGTATACAGGGCAGGCTGGTGTCGGTCTGCTATGAAAGTCATCTTGCCCAATCCGCGATCTTTGTGACATAACGTGTCGGTATGTGAGCTCTTTAGACCACCTATCTCGGTATCGACCTATTTAAGGCACTCTCGATGCAACTCTAACTTATATCCACGTTGTCTACGCTCCGGCCCAACCAAGTAAAGGGTCCGACTTCTTTACTTTACCCCGTTAATCTGAGGACGATTGCCAGTACATCGGTTTGAGCGAGTCTTACACTTTGTTTCCTGTCAGCTTGATCAAGCTTGACACAGTAACCGCAATCGACATCAAGGTCGGAACGAACTGCTTGGGTGGATGACTGTGTCAAACTTGGTTGATGCTTGGCGATTTCAACACCCGGACCTTCAAGAGCTTACAAGTTCTAACAGCAGCTCTCGTATTGATTACGTCTTAGTAAGCTCCAGACTTTTTCAGTCCGTCTTTTGAGACATTCGCCACAACTTTCGCGGCTCGGCGGGCATCGATGACCATTTTTTTCAGGCTCGTATGTTCTGAGTTTAAAACACCAAATCGATCCCCTGGAAATGCCCGTCATGGATTATCCAGCTGCCTGAAGCCCATGAGTATTTGCAGCATTCCTTGCGTGAGCTGGCGGGCTCATTTTGAGCCCCCAAATGGAAATTCTATAATCGGGGATGCCTATTGGACGAACACAAGCGGAGGGGCTCCATATTTCTTCGGGATATAATTTTACAGAAAAAATGAGCGAAAACAGGTATTGGAAAATCCTCATCTTAAGGTGAATGGGCTTCAGCACTTGCAAGCCCGAAATCCGTCTGCTGCTGACCCAACAATACTTGCCACTGCTAAGGCCCAACTTAAAGAAAGGCTGGCCGAGCAAAACTACCATGCGTTGAAGCACAAGTTTACCTCCAACTTAGAAAACACCGAGCGCTGCTTTAAATTTTTCTTTTGGCCGCCCCAAGTACTCTACAAGACGCCCATTTCTGTGGATTTGGCCGAAGACTTGGATTCCACTTGCGCCGAACTTTTGTCCTTCTGGTCTAGAATATACTGCTCGCCTTTAAAAAAGTTTGGTCATGGGCAATTCAAATCGGAGAGTATCAATCTTACCCGATTTTTTCAGAACACTACGGCACGTCTCGCGCCAAAGAATCAGGCTTACTTGGACAGCCCCTTTACGGTGATTAAGTTTTATTGGGCATTAACTCACACTACTATTGGAAAAACTCCGGGGCAAGATGGTTTACCGGTTAGTATATTACATGACGGACTTACCTCTCGGGAGTCAAATATTTTAGGTGGTCTATGCTGCTCAATTTGAACGCGGGAAAATGACTAAATTTCAACGACGGGTCAAAGTCTCGCTGCTCAACAAACAGGGTGATCGAAAACTTCCCAGTAACTATCGTCCAATCTCACTACTCAATGAGGATGCCAACCTGGGACCAAAAATTTTAGCCCACAAAATTAATTCTATACTCGGCAGCTTGCTTCACTCGAATCAATATAGATATGTCCCGGGCAGCGATGTCCGCCACACCCAACTGCGGATTCAGCACCGTCCTATTTGTTCGCAAAAGGTGATTTCCTGCTGCGCGGTTTTACTTGACCTTGCTAAAGCCTTTCATAGTGTCGTCTGGGATGCACTTTAGACTAGGTGATTGATTTAGACGCTAGATTCTAGTCCTCTTTCCCAGTACACTAGTTTCCTTGATGTTCAGCGGGCGACCAATCGACC